TGTCGAAACGGTTGTGCTATCACTCCTCGTTCTATCCTAGTTAAAGAATTGACTCCACTTGCCTCTTACACGAATTTTAGCATTGTTCTAATAATGGAAAGACTCCCTGACGATGCCGATGATTATGGCGAAACGTCTGGGAATGCATCATGTCCACGGTCCGACTCTGTGAATTATCATTTATACTATGGACTCTAAACAAGGTGAATTCCTCAAGGTCTTCCTGCCAATAAGTTAGGAAAATAAGGTCAAACAACTTATATACAACAAAAGGAGACCTCAACCATACAAAAGGCCACACCATCCTGGTCTTCATATCTTCGATAAAAGAGCAATAGTTGTTGTAATTGTTTAAGTGTCAATTATTCTACGAGGAGGTTGGAGGCTGATTGATCCAGATTAGATGTATTTACTTACTCTATAGCTGAGTTAATACATAGGATTACTCCAATCTTGCTGGATATCATGGGAGGTCCAATTTCGCCATGAGTATGTACGTGTAGACTTTTTAACCACTATGGCTTAATTGCCGGTATAGTGAGTGGATTGGGTGTCTGGAAAATTCATTCATCCCAAAGCATCATTTATGTCACTTTCTTCGGTCGTTTGTTTACTTAGCTGACGAGAGGCTTATCGTGCTCAACTATTCGTGCTTTTGTTCAAATATTTGACGATCAAAGCACCCCTGTCTCTGGGCATCTGTTCACAAACACTCGTGTAAAGCCGTTTTGTTAGTAGGGTAGGAAAAGGAAAAGGAAATTCCTATCACCACTATTACAGCCACTATCGTTATCACCACAGCTTTATGAAAGATGGTCTTAGTCTATGGGTAGATCGATCATTTCTCTTTCTATTTTGGCGCATGACAAATCAAGTAGTCTGATGAAAATATGGGGAAAAAGGAGACGAGATGAGGCTATCAAGGAAATTAAAATTTAAATAGGCTAGTTTTATACGGCCAGACTCACCGGCCGGTTTAGCAGCAGTCTCTTCAGACCCGCTATCTCCGCTTGGAGTGCATAAGTTGCCTGACGTCATTGAACTTGCGGCAGATGTTTCTTCTGGCCTCGTCACTTTACCGGCTAAATCAGCAGAAGCTGTAGCTGATGCCATTTTATCTGGGTCAATAACTGGCGGCCAGAAAAGAAATGAGGTTGTCGTATGGTTGCAGGATACAGATAAATTATGAGGAAGCCACCAGGAGGAAGGGAATGGGGCTAAGTGTCATCAGGACAGAGGTGACGGGGCAAGAAGTGTGGAGCGCACGATGAAATGTGGCCTAAGAGACAGGAGGCGCAGGTCCGGTAGGATGGCAAGGCACCGAATGGCAAGATGTGCGGATGGCGGATGAAGGAAGAGGTCAACGGCCCCGAGGAGTAGGCAAAGGGG